GGAAAAGGATAGTGTACTGATTTCTTGAAAATAAGATGCTCTGCTTGGTCATTGTATTTACTATACAATTTTTATTATTGTATGAGAAACTTGGCACGGAATCGGATTTTGAGCCAAGAAGATTTTGACTTCTAATATTTGTTCTTTTGCAATTGATAAAGCGTAAGAGGAACCTTTTTGGTTAATGTGCCCTTTTAAGTGTCTTAATGTTGCTTAATTACGTGAATCTTTTTAATTGCATTAGTTTATTATTTTTATCAGGTGTCTTACTAGGCTTATATAAGTGGCAAACTTCAAATGCTTAGTTCACTGATCACGAAGCACTAGCAACTAAGCGTCTATTTTTTATGGCAGGTTCAGGATTAGATTTTGACATGGGGAGGTTGTGAAAACATAAAATAATGAAGCACGCAGTAAAAAAAAAAAAAAAATCGATATTTCTTGTTATTTTTAGGGCTGTCCCTCCTTCTGCTTTTTCATGTACAGTTCTTTCTTATAATTCCTTCTATTATGATCTTATTGAAACTGAACTTACATTTTTGTTATCAATTCTGAAGTGAGAGTACCAGTGTATTTGCAAATTGCGGTTTCTTTATAGAAATATATCAAAATTTAAATCTGTATATATAAAATTAGAAAAAATTAGTGTAAGAATTACTTGTTTTATATAAAATGGGAAAAAAACAATCCTTTCAAATTAAATATATTAAATTGTACAAGAATTTATGAAATTCAATCATAATAACATTAAGCTAATAGACCTGTATTTCACCTGTTTTTTTTTTATTTATTAAGAATACTAGCGTAACAGGGTGACCGATGCATGCATCTGGGTAATTTGGAGCCCCTATACAGCTGGTTTATACACCGTAATGTATACAAGGTAACACGTGTTCCACCGCTTCTGTTTACCAAATCTTTTTTTTTTTTTTTGTCCATAATAAGAATGGAGCATTGTCTCCATAAAAAATGAAGAAAATGATTTTTGGAAAAAACAAAAGAAAAGAAACTGACTGAAACTGGAATCGTTAAATAAATCAAGAATACTCCACAAAGCTCTGAACCATTTATCCATAAGTTCGTTAATGTTTACATGTTGTTCATATAATATATTATATAAGTTTAAAATCTAAAATTTCATATATCTAATTTTTTCATTGTAAACTTTTTCTAATATTTTATTGTCTACTTTAATTTATTTAAAAATTTTTAACATCATAAATCAAAATTTCGTTTATAAATGAAATACTGAAACTCTACACATAATAGAGTTTTTTTAAAAGAAGCTTGAGGAAATGATTAAACACCAAAATTTTCAAGGGAAGTTTTGCATTAGAACTCAGCTGAACCAGGTGTCCGAGGGAAAGGAATTGCATCTCGTATGTTCTCCATTCCAGTTGCAAATTGCACAAGCCTCTCAAAGCCAAGCCCGAAGCCCGCATGAGGAACTGCAATCAATGACAATACTTGGAGATTATCATTAAAAGAACCACACCAGGTAACCACACCAGCAACTTAGAAAAATTCATATTCTTCATAAGAAAAACCACTAACCTGAACCATAACGGCGTAGATCAAGATACCACCAGTAGCTCTCCTTGTTCAGCTTCAACTCATCAAGTCGGCCTTCTAAATACTCCATCCTTTCCTCTCTTTGGCTTCCACCAATAAGTTCACCAACCTTACACAAAAGGAAGACAGTATCGATGATAGCAATAAGTTTATTCCTAACTGAAAACGAATGCGCTGGAAAAACAGGACTATCAACATGCTTACTTTACAAAGAAAACAAGATGAAGTATGTTTAGAAGTTGCTTCGAACAATTCACAGAACCCAGGCTAAGAAATAATTTTCAGAATCAAAATTGGATTGGTATACTAAAAGTGTGCTTTAAGTATGTGGAGAGAGTGCTCGAAATATGGGTATGCTTTTCTGTCTCTCCATTGATTGGAAAGCAGAATAAAGTACTGACAAGCAAAAGTCAATTATCAGTAATCAAATGTTAAAAAACTTCAAGCATCCAAAACCTTTTACAAACTTTCAGAAACCAGCAACTATAAGATAACTGATTCCATAAATTACATATTTACCCGAGGAACTAGCATATCCATTGCAGCAACAGTCTTTCCATCATTATTTTCGCGCATATAAAATGCCTTGATCTCCTGAGTACCAAGCACAATTGACAATTCAACATACTAAATCTAGATTATCTATAGAAGAGAAAGGGGGAGTAGCATTTGCATGCCTTCGGATAGTCTCTAATGATAACTGGACATCCACCAAATGCCTCTTCAGTTATATATCGTTCATGCTCACTCTGCAAATCACATCCCCACTTCACCTATAAAAATGTTCAAAGCCACATAAAAATGTCATTTTCTCAAAGGCAGCTATTATTTTAATGGTATGATTATAATAAGAACATGCATTACTGGAAACTCAAACTTCTTATTTGCTCTCAGAAGAAGATCAATAGCATCTGTATATGTCAGCTGCACAAAGTCTTTTTCAGCCACATCCTGTTAGATAAATAAAAGCCAAGACATCAGATGCATAACAATATGAAATATATTGAAGAAAAAAAATCTGCATCTAAAATTCTGGAGAACTAGAAGTCCTAAAGAGAAAAGAACTTCCAAGGATTAAATATTATTTATACAGAAAGGATAAAGAAGGAAGAGTATAATAAGATTCTTACACTCAAACGACCAATGATTCCTTTATCAATCCAAGTATTGAAAAAATCCATGTCTTCCTTGCAATTGTCAATGACATATCTCACCTTCAACAAATAATAGCATATGTTACTGCAACTTTTTGCATACTCATTAAACTTAAGGACCCTGCATGCTTCCCAGTATATAGTCTACTCAAAGACTATCAAATTGAGAATAGAATGTGAAAAGTAACATACTACATACTGGAGATAGGCAGTTGCACAGGCCATATCGTCATTCAGATCAGCAAATGCAAGTTCTGGTTCAATCATCTTGAATAGAAGGGAAAACACAATTAAAAATTAGATACTCTTTTGATAAGGCAAGATTTTTTACAGGCAGAAAATACACAAGTAGATATAGAGTTGAGTGCTCACCCAAAATTCAGCTAAGTGCCTTGAAGTATTAGAATTTTCTGCTCGAAATGTAGGACCAAATGTATACACCTGAAAACATATCACAATAAAACCTTAGCAAAAAGAACACAATTTTTGATCTGATTGCCTTTTCTATTTCCGTATTAGAATGGGAAGCATTGAAGAATTGTACATCTGAAAGGGCAGTAGCATATGTTTCGGCATTCAGTTGGCCCGAGACAGTCAAGAATGCAGGTTTCCCAAAAAAATCCTGAAATGTGAAAAAGAGGAAGGAAGATTAAAACATGCTATATATCATAACCGATAAAGCTGATTTTATGAGAAAAGAACAATTAAGATAAGCTTATAACATGTGCTTTTTGGCATAAAATAAAACATAAAAAAAATAAATAAAAGGTTTCTAGATGCATACAGACAAGGAGTTGAGATGATTAACAAATACAAATTCCAGGCTTAAATGACTATGTAACAAAAGAATAAAGTCAAATGATTTTTTACCCATAATAAAAAATCAAATTCTTTGCTGATATAATGACAGTACTTTTTCAGTTTGCTCCAATGAGAGAAAATTTCTAAACTCGTCTTTGGATGTACTAACATTTTTTTTTTGAAATAAAAAGTGTAAACTATATATTAACAAGGTACCAAAACATGAGTACCGCCCATGTACAAAAAATTTATAATAATGTTAGTGTGTCAACGACATTTTTAAAATCCTCATCACTAATAATGTCATGACCTAACAATATAAGACCAAAATAATGAATTCATCTATCTTTTATTCTAATAATGCTATTCTCCTCACTATTAAAAGTTTTACTATTCTTTTCTTTTCAAATAACCCAAAAAACTGTTAAAGGAATAACATTTACAATTTTGTCTTTTACATTTAAACCATCCTAAGCCCAATACTCTGATAAAGAACCATAATCTAGTCCAAACCCTCTACACCATCCGACAACAAAGAAGAAGTGATTATTGGATTGGAACTCTATTAAAGTGCATGAAGCACACATTTGGAGAAAGAGTATCTTGAGTTAGAAGAATCCAAAGCAAGTCATTTATGTTACTGTTATAATCATAGTTCAAATAAAAACTATAACCTTAAAGTAGAGCTTTCACTTTCCAAAATAAGGTCAAAGTTTCATTTATTATGACTGTCGGTAAAATGGTGAAACAAAGCTTTACAAGTATAAACCCCGAGGAAATAGAATACCTAAATCCGTAATTATAACAGGAGTAGTAGAAAGATCCCAACAAAGTAATCAAAGATAGCAACGCTCAAAATTTCCAATCATTGGGGTTCCTCAAAAGGAAAAGATTATATAATTGTTGCTTTGAGTAAAAAAAAAAAAAAGACAGAAAAAGTGGGACCCATCCTGCACACTAACCAGAAATAAAGCGCAAAAGAATTATTAGCAATCCAAAGGCTATTACAAGTAATCTAAATTTTGCTTTGGTATCCCAACCATTTTGATGCAACTTGAAATTATTCTTCACCACCATACACCACAAGTTCAGGTTCATTTTGAAAATTTTATAACCATTTGGCTATTAGCGCAATGTTTTTGGCATAAAATTCCAAAGACCTAGCTCCCCCTCTTTCTTATTTTTTACTTTCAATAAAAAAATTCCCTTCTTTCTTAGGAAGACAACACAAATTCCATTTACCAAGATGATCCTTAGCATCCTTGTTAATATCCAATTAAAGGAATTCCCTCTTGACTTTGTCAATCCTCAAGGATGTCGATGAGATTCTGAACAAGGATAAATAGTATAAAGGAATGCAAGACAGACATGTTTACAACAAAGTCACCCTAACCCCTTAAGAGAAAAACACTCCTCTTGACTTTGTCAGTCCTCAAGGATGTCGATGAGATTCTGAACAAGGATAAATAGTATAAAAGAATGCAAGACAGACATGTTTACAATAAAGTCACCCTAACCCCTTAAGAGGAAAACACTCCTTTCTAACTCTCTAACAATCTAGAAACCTTTCAAACCACAAAATTCCATGAGAAGTACATGATTATTCGCAGTAGCATTTATAGATTTTTTTTTTAATTGAAGCAGCATTACTAGATAAATGACTAAACCAGCATATTAGACCCAACTTAGATTCACAAGGTTCTTAATGACATTTTCGTCCAAACTGATGCATGATAAACTGTCAAATTCCTCAACATCAAGATGGCCTCAAAAATCTACACGATAGAGATGACATTGAGAAAATATTCTTACTCTAAGGAAAAAAGAAGATAGTGTCATCTATAAATTTCAAATGAGAAACTTCAATGTCCTTCACTTCCTGCTAATAAATCTCTCGCAGAACCCCCCTCAACTCCCCTATTCACATCTTGCTAGGGGCATTATCTACCAAAGTGAACAAGAATGAAGGTACAAGATTATCTTGCCCAACCCCTAACTGACCTTTCAACCATGCTTTAGTTTTAGGTTCCCCATAAACAACCTCCAATCCTAGATCTCCATCTAACCCCAAACCTTCCTGGCCATAATTTATCCAGAAATCCCAGTTGTCTCTATGCTTTTTTTTTTATAGATAAAAGTATAATAATATATTGAAATAGGACACCAAAGGGGCGTCAATCCATGTACAAAAGGATTTACAAGTCAATTAACATATTTACAATTGACCCTAAATCATCATGATGGGTGACGCTGTGTTCTAGTATTATGGAACCAAAAATATGGAACCATTTGTTCAAAATATTGCTAAAGTTGTCTTCTTTCCCTTAAAAAACTCTATTGTTTCTTTTCTTCCAAATAACTCAGAAAATGGTAAGAAGTATGAGTTTGAATTTTTTGTTCTCTCTGCTTATCATTTCTCATGCAAGCAATTCATTTTTGACAGTTCCAGCCATGACCCAACGGATTCCAAGTAAACCAACCATGGACCATAGAAAATAAGTGTTGGGGCACCAAAGCAAAAGATG